TTGGTGTCTTTCCATTTATTGTTGCAGATGGTAAACGATTGATCAAGTGGCTTGCATAAAGGACTGCTTCTGCCCAAAAAGACTTGTCTAAATCAGCTTGTAATAACATACACCTTACTTTTTCAAGAAGATTTCTATTGAGTCGTTCAGCAACACCGTTTTGCTGTGGATTTCTTGGTACAGTAAAGTGTCTTACTATTCCTTCCTTTTTGCATACTTCATTGAAGGGATCAGAAGTATACTCACCACCATTATCGGTTCTTAAAACTTTAATTTTTCTTCCGGTTTGATTTTCAATCATATTCTTCCAATTCAAAAAAATATCTAAGACTTCATCTTTATGTTTCATTGTATACACCCAAGATTTTCTAGAAAAATCATCAATGAAGCTTACAAAGTAATGTTTACCACCCTTGGAAGCTGTTTTTGTTGGACCCCATACATCTGAGTGAATATAATCAATGATGCCCTTGGTTTGGTGTGTTGTTGTACCAAACTTTACTCTTTTTTTCTTACCTAAAACACATTGCTCACAAAAGTCTACTTTACCAGATTTGACACCTTTTAACAGCCCCTTCTTTGCTAATCCTTGTAGAGCACTTTCTCCAGCATGACCGAGCCTTAAATGCCACAACTTTGAAGTATCAGAATCAACATTTTTATTATAATTAGTAGATTCTGAGACCACTGTTGCAGCATCCACAATAGTTTTTCCTTGCAATACATACATGTTATGCTCTCTAATCGCCTTCATCTCAACCAAAACACCTTTCTTTACCTTCATAATACCATTTGAAGATGAATAGTTGTAACCTCCAGATTCCAATGCTCCTAAAGAAATCAGATTCTTTTTTAATTTAGGAACATACCACACATTTGAAAATTCTCTAATTACTCCATCATGATGCTTGAACTTCATGGTACCGACCCCTTCTTTCTCTAGGCTGTAATCATCACCAACTAAAACAACACCATGAGACTTCATATCTAAAGTAGAGAACCATTCCTTATTAGGACACATGTGTTGAGAAGCTGCAGTATCCATCAACCACACATTAGTGAAGGAATTCGATGTGACTGCCAATACAAATTCCGAACCAGATTCATCTTCACCATAAGTGACATTTGCTTGAGTGTTTTTGTTCTTGTTTTTTAGTTTTATACAATCCTTCTTCCAATGGCCAATTTCATGACAAAAAGCACATTCGTTTCTCCCCAAGCTTTTTCGCGATTTAGAATTCCCTCTACTACGAGACTGGAATTTTTTTTCTATTTTCTTGACCTCTCCTTTCAAATGTTCTACCTCGAACAACCAAGGCATCTGATGTGGAACCATTCATTTATTTATCTGCATGCCTGATCTCATAGTTCATCAAAGCATTCGAGACTTCTTCAAAACTAATAGTTACTTTACCATGTAACAAAGTGGTTGTTAAATGAGCATATGAATCATGCAGAGAATTTAACAAAATTAAAGCTTTGTCTTCATCTTTAATTTCTTCATCTAAGTTCAATAAATCAGCAACTAATTGATTAAAAGCATCAAGATGAACAATCATCTTTGTACCTTCTTTATATTTGAAGTAAAACAACATTTTCTTCTTATAAAGACGGTTTTCAGCACTTTTGGTCATATATTTGTCTTCTAATTTGTGCCATAATTCTTTTGCTGATGTTTCTCTCATTACATTGAACTTTTGTTGCTTAGCAAGACACAAACGGATTGTTGAGCAAGCCATCCTATTTACTTTATTCTAATCAACATCAGACATATCTTCAGGCTTTTCTTCCAAAGCAACATCCAAATCTTGTTGAGCCAAAACATCTTTGACTTCACACTGCCACATCCCAAAGTTATTTGTCCCATCAAATTTTTCGACTTCAAACTTCGCATTCTGAACGGTTGTCTTTGTCACATGAGATCCTCTCCCACCAAAAGGGTTAAACTCAGCCCCGGCATCGTCTGCCATGGGCTCTGATACCAGTTGTTAAAAAATCAAGTTTCCTAACTCTTTAAAATTAACCCAAAACCAGAGGAACACAACAATATAAAAATCACAGCAAGTGAAAAACAGTAAAAAGACAATGATTTACGTGGTTCAGCTTTTGATAAGCCTACATCCACAAAGCAACAGGGACACCATTTATTATCAAATTGTGGAGGTTACAAAAGTTCACACACAACACACACATCCTCAATTTTCTGCATATATCTTTTTCACACGTATCTTTAACCCTCAATATGTAACTGCCTTGCAGTTATTTAATGCACCCAATTTATTAACATAAATTAATATTGCTAATAAATATGCATCACTAGAAATTGAGCCATATTTATAACAATAAGCACCTAAAGCACAGATGTGCTTTAGGTGCTTGTACATTCGCAGATGAGATTCTTATTTTACAGATGGGGCATCTCCATCTGTAAAATCGTTGGCTAATTTTGTAATTTCAATTTTTTTTTTGTTATTTTTATAATACCATTAGTGTAAATGGTTATTTTTATCATTTTCTCCTAATAAAATAGTTAGTTTAATAATATCCCATTAAAGAAACTTTGGTGTATTTGTAAGAGGATATAAAGTTTGAATAATATGATCTAAACCGAACCCGGTCCACCCGATTTCACAGGTGAAGATGAAATACACCAAAGAGACCTACCAGGCTAACTGTATCCTGGACGGCGTTGCTTTTCCCATCGCCGCCTTCTCATGATATCCGAACCTTTCCCCGGAATAAGCCACCGTCTTCATTAGCTTACCAATCAACAATCCAGTCATGGCGTTTAATTCCGTCACTCAAACCCTAGATCCATGCCAACACACCTCAGAATCCCTACCCGACAACCCCGACGACCACATCTGCTCCGAAACAACAAACCCCTTTTCTCCAGAGTCAGTAGCGAATCACGAATCTTCATTGTTGGATAATCCGAATGGCTACTTGACAACAGATGCCAGAATCGAGAGAGCATGGGCACATTGGAAGAAGCTCGGTGAGCCCAAGCTAATTGTAGCACCGATGGTCGATAACTCGGAGCTTCCTTTCCGATTATTATGTCGGAAATACGGCGCTGAAGCTGCTTACACTCCTATGCTTCACTCTCGTATCTTCAGTGAGAACGAGAAGTATCGATCTCAGGAATTCACCACCTGCAAGGTAAGAGCAATCTGCACATACACTCATATTCAACCTTCTTCGTTATTAACATCTGATTGCAACTGTAATTCTAAGAAATTAAGATGTTTGTTATGGAATATACCAATTATGTTTCCTGTTCGCTGAAATATGCAGGAAGATCGGCCATTGTTTGTTCAATTTTGTGCGAATGATCCAGACACTTTACTGGAAGCAGCACGAAAGGTGGAGCCTTATTGTGATTACGTTGACATTAATTTGGGGTAAGCTTTTCGAATTCTCTTTAAATATTTCATCAATTCTGAACTTTCATAACTTAATCACAGCAATTTAGGGTACTTGTTTGACTAATTTACCATGTAACATCAAATGCAACAATACTAATTAGACTTCAAATAATATCAGTCAAGAAGATGATCCACAAATGGTTGTAGTAAACAAGTAATAAGTAATAACCACACATTAGATTTTTCTTTTTTTCTTTTTTGTAAAGATAAGATGTTGTACTACATTTGTCCTGCATAAAACACGAATAAACCTTCACTATTTATCAATTTAGCTACTGAACTATTATTTTTTATCGATTTAACCACCGTTATTATAATAATCATAAAGAAAAATAATAGTTAAGTGGCTAAATCGATAACTTTTCTGTATTTTTCCTTATATACAAACATTTCTTCGAAATTCAGGTGTCCACAACGTATTGCCAAAAGAGGAAACTACGGAGCATTCCTAATGGAAAAACTCCCTCTCGTGAAATCCTTAGTTGAAAAATTAGCTCTTAACCTCAACGTCCCCGTATCTTGCAAAATCCGACTCTTCCCAAACTTACAAGACACTTTAAACTACGCAAAAATGTTGGAAAATGCCGGATGTACCCTTTTAGCGGTACACGGACGCACCCGTGACGAAAAAGACGGGAAAAAAATCCGCGCAAATTGGGACGCGATTCGGGCGGTTAAAAACGCGCTTCGAATACCCGTTCTCGCAAATGGAAATATCCGCCACATGGACGATGTGACACGTTGTTTGGAAGAGACGGGTGTCGATGGGGTGCTTTCAGCTGAAACCCTACTAGAAAACCCTGCGTTGTTTGCAGGGTTTAGGACTGTTGATTGGGTATCCGACGGTGGAGATGGGATTCGTGACGCAAAGTTAGATCAAGCGGATTTGGTTATTGAGTATTTGAAGTTATGTGAGAAATACCCGGTGCCATGGAGGATGATTAGGGCTCATGTTCATAAGATGTTAGGGGAGTGGTTTAGGGTTCATCCGCATGTGAGAGCCGATTTTAATGCTCAATCGATTCTTAGCTTTGAGTTTCTTTATGGTATGGTTGATCGGCTTCGAGAACTTGGTGTTTCGAGGCCACTTTATGTCAAGGATGTCTAGACTCAGACTAGATAGTCTAGACAGACAGGATAGCATTGTATTGCGTTTGGTGTGCATTAAATATTTAAACTAGAACTATGACTCATGTCGATAGGACAAAAGTTGTATTCTTTGTCCCACTAACAAAATATGAAACGATGTGGGATGTTCAAAATAGACCTAGAAAACTTGTCTAATCTGTGATAATACTATCACACAATGAGAACTCAGTATTTATGTTATATTATGTTTTTTTTTGGTATCGGATAAAAGACTATTATTTTGTATTTTACTGATATCAAATTTGTTGTAGATGACGAAAAAATCTATGTACTACAAATGTTTTTTGATTACAAAGGGTCGAACCGCATTTTATGGAGAGCCCTTTGATGCATTATGAGAAAATGACACGATTGATCAAATTTTTACGCCTCTTTATGTCAAATGAAATGTCAGAGCCAGAGCGGTGGTCCGCCATCTGCCGCCTAGGATGCCGCCGGATGGCTGTGACAAAACTGGTTTCTGCCGCCCTGGTCCACCACTCTCTCCACCACAAAATGAGCCAACAAATCATTAGAAGACTTGACCAAATTCTCTTTACATAAAAACTCTTCACTAGACACTCTTTCAACTTCTCTATTATAATCATGCACGAAAACATGTGTTTTATGGTTGCCACCTTTTTTGCTCCGGGCAAGTACACCGGCGGTGAAGATGGCTGATATACTCCCTGGGCCCTCCGGCCAATATCCACGTGGACCATCCACTAAAATCACATCCCAATCCAATTCATATAATTGATTAGGAAGATCATTTAATCCAATTTTACAATCAGAAAATAACAAATTTTGCACTGGTCGACATTCGTTACGTGTTTGTTCTCGAACGGAAGCGATAAGTTCTTTAAGTTCGCTAATTTTTGTGGTGTATTGAACATCATACGCTTCAATCTCCGGGAACTTCTCCTCCACGTAGGCGGCATAGTAGCGGTTTTCATCAATGAACACCGTCCGTCCATGGTGGTTCAAGGCGTTCCAGAGGAGGGTCTCCGGCGTGAGCCCGAATACAAGGAGGTTACACGGGGTTGTGCATTGTTTTAAGACATCAGAGATTTGTTTGATGTCGGTCTGTGACATGTGATTTGTGGTGTTGGCGGTGGCGGCGTAGTGGATGAGGGCTTTGATCACCGATTTGGGAAGTGATTCATGGTGGTGGTTACTGGTGGCGGTGATGGTCGTGGTGGTGGTGGTGGTTGTGTGGAAGGATTCACGGGTGTAGACTAGGGTTACCAGGGAGGCTATGGTGAACACCGAGACGAGAGCGATTAGCCAGAGGCGATTTGGATGTGTTTGTTTATGGATGTAAGGATGAAGAAGAATGAGCTTTGTGTTGCCATTGTTAATGATGTTTTTCATTATGTGTTTGTGTGTGAGAAAATATGATGGAATGAAAGGTTTTTAAGGAAGGATTTTGAGAGAACAAACTAATAATTTTAAATATTTTAAAATAATTTTTAATTAACATATATCTAAATATAGGTTGAAAGTATCTATATAAATATGATTGGTTATTTAGACTTATCATTTTAATATTGAGAAATAGTTAAAATATAGGGATAGGTGATGACAATAAAACGGCACCAATCTGTGATAGTGAGATAGTAGCTACATTTGGACACCTAATGTTTGCTTAAGTATGTTGACATTTCAAGCTACCCAAATAAATATATATTATAATTTTAAAAGTATTTATTGTATAATATTTCGATTATAAGTATTTACTTATATTTACATAATTCATTGATATAAACAAGAGGGAGAGAGTAGGTTCTTTTATGCAAACAGAATTCTTTTTTGATTCACATGTAATCGTAAATTCATGTGATATTATTAATGTAAATATGGATTGAGAATAAAGAATGTGAATAGATAGATTTGGGTGGTTCGTGTCTTGAGGAGCTGAATACTGCATAGGGTCGTTGGGAGGGAGCCGTTTGGCATCATTTGAAGCGACTTCTTAACTAATTGCAATCCTAACATCACTTTCACTCTTTTATTTATTCATGAGTAAAAATTACAGAAATAGTCCTTTTGGTTTGGTCCATTTTATAGTTTGATCCAATTTTTGAAAAATTGATAGATACTTTCATTGTGGTTTGGAGAAATTACACTAACGGTCCTTTGATCATTAAATTTAACTAGGCAACCGTTAGATTTTCATATATGACATTTTATCCTTGAAATAGATTAGTAAAAGCTAAAAAGTATACGAACCAAATTTGTTAATTACCCATATATCTACCTTAAATCCCATGACATACCCCCCCTAAACCTCCTCAACTACCGAATCAAGTTTTGATACTAGTTAGAATTAATCACCGTTTACCTCTGTCTCTCTCTTTCTTTCATCGATTTATCTAGAACCAGCCTAACCAGTAAACATCCCTCCCTCTCCTTTTTCTTTCATTCCTTCGCCTCCTGAAAGAACTACCCCCACCAACCACAGATTCGAGTATGAATCACGTACGAAGTTGTAGGCAGGACAAGATTTTGGATTGCAACCATGACATGTTGCAATTTGGTTCCATTTAACGTTAATAAAAAAAATTCCTTATAGCAACCATATCTTGGATCGTTAAACATAACCAAATGAGCATTTTTTTTTGAGTTTGTTATTCAACGGTTACATGAATATCTTCGTTTAGACTACGGATATTAGTTTTTAATTTGGTCGATTGATTAAGGAAGGAGGTTGTATGGATGTGTGGGGTTTTAATCTTTATCTCTAAATCATCAGGTTGCTTGAGAATTGGTTGCTTGGGGTTCTTATTTCTTAATTCTCGGTTCTTGTATTTTTTTTATGTTAATTATTTGGATCGGTTTTCATTTTAAACAATATATTATGAATATTGTGGTTGTAAATAGTAGTTTGGATATGGGTAATAGTGGTGGGAGTGCCCTTTATACCTATAAATAACAAAATAGAAAATAGAAAAAGAAAAACGTAAATGGATATTTTTTTACACTGATTTAACAGTAGGTCATGGACGATATTAGTTAAAAGGGACCAATGGTGTAATTTGTTGAAACAATATGGACTTAACCTATCAACTTTTCAAAGACAACACCTGCAAAATAGTCCAAACCATAGGGGGGCTATTTATGTAACTTACTCTTTATTCATTAATACTCTTGGAACATTTACATGGAACATTAAGTCTGCTCGGGCAACGATATACGACGTTATGTTGATTTGGCAGCTTCCATAACGGCGCCATAATACGAGAACACCGCTCCTCTCTCATGTTATTTGGTGTTATGTTAAGAAATGTTACCATGACCACATGAAGTAACATGAGAATCAACCAATCAAAAGTCATTCTCTCTCTCTCTCTCTCTCTCTCTCTCTCTCTCTCTCTCTCTCTCTCTCTCTCTCTCTCTCTCTCTCTCTCTCTCTTAACATGTTATAACATTTGCATACCATTTCCTATATAACTCAAATTGTGTTAAAAATGACATGACATATGAGTTGGCAAATTTTGGGTATGATAACATGTCTTAACATGTTATCCATACCCACCAGCCTAAAACAAGGATATGAAATTGGATAGTTTAACAGTTTTTTTTTAAGTAACACGGAAAATTATTTATATAATAGCACGAATACGAAACAATGTCGTGTTTTGATTTAAATTAAAACACGATAAAAACGCTCAACACGATCAACACGAAAAATATAAAATAAAATAATCATTTAGTTTATTTATATCATAATTAATCATAAAAAAGTTAACACGATAAACACATGTTAATATTGGAGTATTAATTTTATGTCAAATTTTAAACATGAAAACAATATGATATTATATCTTTCTTTTGACATGAACAAAATTTTGAAATTTAAATTCATCCTAATTTTATTTGTGTCATTTGACCCATGGATTGCTACGATACATTTGTACACACACGCGCGCTGTAACGTCTGTGTTTCTGGGCTTGTCATTAATAGCAAGGTTAACATTTATAAACCATTTTGAAATAATAAGAACATATTATGTGAGTATTATGTGTTTTATGCTTAATTGCTTAAATTATGTGGCTTAAATGAATTAACAATGAAAATAAGCATGAAAATGAAATGTTAGATAAGTTCGATATCGATACATGAAGATGTAGTGGTCGCGACGAGGTTTCCGAAAATATAAAGAATGCTGAAATCCGAATTATAACGAAGAAGTTATGACTTGTCAAAGTTTCGCGACAGAACGGGTAGGACACAACACGACGTAAATAGATAGAGCGATAGTTAGCCTTAGTGATCTAAACGAAAGTCGTAGAATACGTTAAACCATGAACATGCATAAAAAGAACGCCCAAAACTGACTTCGTATTGTTATGACAGAAGTATACAATCAACAAGATTAACAGAAATAAAACAAACGAAATTGAAATATATATATATATATATATATATATATATATATATATATATATATATATATATATATATATATATATATATATGTATATATATATATATATATATATATATATATATATATATATATATATATACAAGAATCAGTTTACAGAAAACATACTTGCTGGTTTATGCTTACAACAGAAACACAAAAAACAAAATTATGTAGATTGAGGCCTGCAAATTGCAGTGTCCTAAGACAGAAATTTCCCTGGTGGGGATCTGTCTTGAGGATACAACAATCAATCAAGAACTTCTCTTGATTCTGACGAAATTCCTATGTTCCCTTCATCTTTTGGAAGAACGAATTTTGTGGTGTGAAAAACGATTTCTGCAACCCCTCACAGATGAATGAAACATGTATTTATAGGTATTAGTTATGACAGTTGGAAACTGTCAAAACCGAAAATAACTGTCAAAACCTGTCATTCAGTAATTACGAATTTAATAAAAAAAGAATAAAAATTAATTTCGTAATTAAAAATTATTTAATTAATCAGGAAGACCCCAAGGCCCAAGGCCCATCTTTTGATCATTAAATATTCTCTTGATATTAGCCCATTTTAAGTCCAATTAGGCTAATCCAACACCACAACCCAAGCCCAATATGCTTAACCCATTACTTGACCCATTTAATTAAATGAGTGAGACTAGACATATAAGGTGGGAGAAGGTTTTCTCTTGGGATAAGTCCTACATTGTAATTTTGTAGTCAAAGTTCCAACACATATGAGGAGGTTATGATTTTTCGAAGTTTTAGCTTAGCAGTAGACAACCCGAAGTTCGAATATGAGATCGAGCGATATTTAGCCAAAACTTTCTAAATGAGAATTGAAGATCTCATCATAGTAGTGCAACGACGGAAAGACAGATGAAAACAGACATCAGACGAAGGAGCCATGATTTTCTAACGGAGTTTTCCTGTTCCAGCCTACTAAAAATAATATAATAAATATATACTAAAAATAAAGTCAAAATTAGCCGACGGAGTCTAAACAAAAGTTGTAAATCTTGTTTTTGCCTACACGTGGAAAAAAAGAACGTCGAAAACGGAGCTCGTATGCGAAAGTTATAAATTTCTGAAGTTCGGGGCGCGAACCCCAACATTGTGTCAGAGTTCACGATGTGAAAACAGTGTTCACGATGTGAACTCAATGCTGATGCCTTCTGGAGCCTTCCAGAGCAAGTGGACTGATGACGAACGCAATGACGAATGCCTGACTGAACTCACGACGTGAATTTTGAGATTTCACGACGTGAATTCAGTATTTCAGCCCTATAAATAGAAATCGAAGGGCAGCCGATTTTGGTTGTTATTCCCTTCACCCTCTCACTCCCTAAACCCTCTATGGTCATCTTGAAGTACCCCTAAAGCCCCGGTATCATCGCAAGACCCGAATCAAGTCCCGAAGCCCGAAGATTCAAGAAGAAAAGAGTTTCCGAACCGAAGTTCTGCCTACGAGAAGCCCGATGTGTGAAGATCTTCCAGATCTACCGAAGAATACTACTTCTGCAAGCCGTAGTGCTGTCTGATCATCTTCTGATCAAGTGAGTGTATATACTCTTTCTTCTATCACACAGATATAAAGTATCTTTTATGTAATACGTGTTATGTGAGTACATAGTCCTCTTCTTAAACACGATTCTAATACAAGTATTGTTTGAATGTATTAAGTATATGAGATATTCTCTATGAAACATGTGATATGTAATTATGTGTTATCTGTTTATTTAGAATGAGTATTGAATGAGTATCTTATCAGTTTAAAGTTGCAAGTAAATGCATATGTATATTGTTATCTACAAATTGTTGGGTAGATAGTTGATGTGTGATAAACTGATGAGAGGCCTCAATGTGATTGTAATCTAGTCATTCAGCAGAATATGGATGATGACCACGGACTTTTCTAGATAGTTCTGTGGAATGTTGGCATGC